TGGGGGCGGGGCCGGACGGCGCCGGCGCTCTGATCGCACCGACGCGCGCCGGAAGTAATCAGGGCCGCAGCGCCGCGGCGCGACGGCTGGACCGTGGGCTGGCACCGCTATGCCGGTCACCGGGAAGACTTTCCGTCGGCGCCGGGCCGACTCGGAGTCGGAGGAGGATGAGCAGGACTCAGAGGAGGTTCGGTGAGTTTAGGGCGGGAAAGAAAAGGAGAGACCGGCTTGAGGGACTCACCACCGGCCGGTCGCCTCGCTGACACTATGAACTGTGAGTGGAGGTGTTTTTTCTGCGGACGAAGAAATTGAGGTTGTTGGCATGAGGCCGCCGCACGGTTGGGAGAGGTGCGCCCGGGATGCGCCGTGGATCTGACTCTGGTTGGGTCTAGGCGCAGGGTCGCCCCCTGGACCACTGTGCCCGCGGCTCAGCAGCGGGGCAGTGGTGCCCTCGAAGGTGCCTGCTGCTTGTTGGCTCTGGGTTCCGCGAAGGGTCTCTCAGTCTGTGCGTTACTTTCTTTCAGATTAAAACTGGAAGAGACCCGAGAGGTGCAGAACCTGAGGAAGAGGCCCAATGGGGTGAGGTGGGTACCGCGGGGGGAGGAGGTGGGGATGACAGAGACACTCCCCCGCCTGGGTCGCTGTCACAAATCTCTCCTCAGACGTGGCCCCTTCTCTTGACACACTGTACACCTTCCACTGCCCGAAGAGGAGACTAGCGTTTTTTGTTTTTTTTTTTTTAAAGATGACCGGTAAGGGGATCTTAACCCTTGACTTGGTGTTGTCAGCACCACGCTCAGCCAGTGAGCAAACCGGCCATCCCTATATGGGACCCGAACCCGGGGCCTTGGTGTTATCATCACCGCACTCTCCCGAGTGAGCCACGGGCCGGCCCGAGACTAGCGTTTTTTGCAAACGTTTAATCAGGACATGCCCCGAGCTGTGCGGTCTTGGGGTGTGCTCCAGATGTACAGAAACAGGTGGTCACTAAGTTCTGTTTTTATTGTACCTGATTAATTGTGAAATGTACATTGATTATTAAAACTTTAGAAAACTTTACAAGTATAATCAAGAAAATAAACAGTACCCATCCAGACATAACCAGTATTAACATGAAATATTTTTTCTAATCTATTTCCTTTATCTCTTTTATAAAGATTGTGAGCAACTTTATATATACTTTTATTTCCTGCTGTTTTCAACTCATTATAACATTGTGGGCATGCACCCATACTATGGAATATTTTTCAGAAAACCTTTTTTAGTGGCTGCATAGTATTCCACTAGATGTATGAACCATAATTTGTTAACAAATCCCCTATTTTGGGACATGTAGATCATTTTGTAAATTTTCACCATCAAATAAGGTTGCAACAGATACTCTATTACAGTTGTCTTTAGCTGCATTTTCCCTGATGGCAAAATTTAGAAATGAGATTTCCAGGCCAAGATAATGTCAAATGGCTTTACAGGAAAGTGTGCCACTTCACTCACCATCACCCACTCCCCCAGCATCTACAGTGCTTGCTGAGCCCTGTTATATTCCTTTGTGCTTTTCCAGCTGACTTTGCGCCCAGCCCTCAAATCTCCCTCTTGCACTAATGTTGCAACCTACAAACCTCTTGAGTGTTCCTCTTCATCTCTCAATTGTGCCATTTCTCTCTCTCTCTCTCTCTCTCTCTCTCCCTTTTTGGGTTTTTCTCAGTGCTGTGGCTCTACTGGTGGGAGAGAAGGTACAAGAAGAGACCACTCTAGTGGTAAGTTATTGGGTCTTCCCAGGACAGTGGGAGGATATGGCCACTCAGTGGGTGATTGTGTTTCCTTAAAAAAAAAAATAAATTCCACTGCCAATTATATAGATGCTTCCTCTAAGCTGTGTTTGCTTTCTGTAGGATGATCCCTTTCAGATGAAGACAGGTGGTATGGTGGACATGAAGAAACTGAAAGAAAGGGGCAAAGATAAGTAAGTGCAGGACATGGTGAGATGTAAATTAGCCTTTAGCCCCTGCCTGGGTCTGTGTGCCCTCACAGGGCTCCAGCCTGCAGCAGCAGCTTGAATAGAACATCTTGAAGTGGACTTTGTGCTTTGCAAAGAATATGTTGTTTAAAAGGAAAAGAGAATGAAAACTCTAAAAGTTAGCTTAGAGCAAGTGGAAAGATGCCTTTTATAAAGATGTGTTGTTTATTGTCTTTCAAACCTATGTGGAAGTTTTGTATGAAAACACAGTTATAAAAATAATACATTCAAACAATTAAAAAGTTTAAAAAATTAAAGTATTCACTCATTACCCAGAGGTATCCCCAGAGGCCAACAGTTTGGCCACTTATTTCTAGAGTTTTCTCTGTTTACATATCATATATTTCTTTTTTCTACCAACCATAGACAGGATATTATACTCTTTTGCTGTGTCCTTGCTCTATTCTTATAACGTAAAATCCAGCCTCATTGAGTTTTGACTTTAAAGCTCTGCCTCATTGTTGTCTTCCTTCAGGATAAGCGATGAAGAAGACCTCCACCTGGGGACATCATTTTCTGCAGAAACCAACCGCAGGGACGAGGATGCAGACATGTAGGTGTCCCTCTGTTTGGCTGTGAGCAATTGGGGCTGGGCTCCAGCCGGATAGAGTCCAAGAGGTTTAGTTACAGATGACATTTCTAGAGTTTTCTAGAAGATGTCAATGTTGACCCTTCTCTCTCCACCTCCCAGGCTTGAGAACTTTGAAAACCTCTTAAACGTTCTTTAGAAAGGTGGTTCCTGGGATTTTAGATTCCTTGGCCAGTAATATTTCCCCACAACATTGCAGGGATAAACATGGAATTGCCCACTTTTTATTTTGCCAATAAGGCTATTAAACTATCATCTTTCTGTCTTCAGATAACCGTATATATCATAACTCCAATAGATTAGTAGTATATAATCTTATTATATAGGTTGATGCTTTAGGTTGAAATTTTCTAACTTTATAAAGAAAATTCAAGTTATTTTTACTTTTCTCATGTCTCCATGAACTGATGAAAATTTCCTAATAGATCTTCACCAGTCTGTGGGCCAGTGTCGGGAACCACTAATTAGAAGGTGCCTATGGTGAGCTTCCTGCCCCTCTCTGAGGCCTGTGAGTTTTTTATTTCAGGATGAAGTACATTGAGACAGAGCTAAAGAAGAGAAAAGGGATTGTGGAACACGAGGAACAGAAAGTCAAGCCGAAGAATGCAGAGGACTGTCTTTATGAACTTCCAGAAAATATCCGTGTTTCCTCAGCCACTGGCTGAGCGAGGTGCGGGCGCAACACCGAGGGTTGCAATCCCGTTGCCGTCCCGGTCCGGTACGGGCGTGACACTGAGGGTTGCGATCCATTGCCGGTCACGAAAAAAAGACAAAAAGGAAAAAAAAAAAAAACTTGTTTGTAAACATGTTAACTTTCTTTCAATATTTGTTCTGGGTCAGGAGAAAACAGCTGTGTGTTCATGGTGTGATAATGCCCTTTAGATTGTGTTTTTATTATTGTATATGCCATCATGTCTTTTTCAGATATTTGAAACAAGGCTCAGAAATGCATCCTTATTGTTTAGAGCAGGTCCAGCTGATAGAAAAATCCAGGATACTGGATCAAAGGGATACTGGCATTTTATGACTTTTGCAAAGCAGATAACATTAAAAATGAAAAAGCAGGGCCGGCCCGTGGCTCACTCGGGAGAGTGTGGTGCTGATAACACCAAGGCCCTGGGTTCGGATCCCATATAGGGATGGCCGGTTCGCTCACTGGCTGAGCGTGGTGCTGACAACACCAAGTCAAGGGTTAAGATCCCCTTACCGGTCATCTTTTAAAAAAAAAAAAAAGAAAAGAAAAAGCAAAAACTACATTTCTTATCACTTAGAATTTAATTTCTAAATACTAAATGAATCCAACCGAATTTTGTGTATTGTGTTTCCTTACACCAACATCAGTTAATGTTTTCAGAGTCCAAGGGTTGGGTAGCTCAAATGTAAAACTGAATTACTGAGATAGATTTTCTCATTTAGTTCAAAAGACATAGACTTGCTCCAACCTTCTAGCTGTCAGGTACCTTTCCACCTGTCCTGTCATTTTTTCTGAGGCATGTACATGGGTCAGGCTAAGGACAGAGCAGGTCAGTTGACTTCTGGGCTGACTTAGAGCAGGTATTGTGGTTACAGAGGTTTGGCTCGAGTCAGATCTGATCTCTGCTCACAGCTTACAAATTGTGTCCTTAGACAAATCCCTTTCCCTCTGAGCCTCAGTTTTCTCATCTGAAAAAGATTTTTCCTCCACTAGAATGCAAGGTCAGGGATGCAGGAACCATGTGTGCTCCTTTTTTTGTTTGAATCCGCAGGGCAGATCCCACAACCTGACATAGACAATCCTCAAATGAATGAATGATCCCTACCTCCAGTATTGGAGGATTAGAGGTCATATGTAGTGCTTGGCTTATAATCGGTGCTCAAAACTTTTTTTTAAATACAGTATGAAAAAGTTGAACCTTAAAAAATGTTTCCAGAATATTTAGGCATTTATCCGGTGCCAATGATGTGCAGTACGGTGGTAACCAAGATGAATACTGGGGGTCTAGCACATCCCCTGGCACATAGTAACACAACAAATATTTATGGGGTGGATGGGGAAATAGTGGTTGATGCTCAGTTACTGCTTGCCAGAGTTCCCTTCGCTGGAGAAAGGGTAGCCTTCTGCCCATCTTACAAATGGCTGCCAGATGGTGGGAGCCAGATTTCTCACTATTCGGAATTTACAGATAAGCAAGGGGAGGAGGCTCAAATGATCCATTTAATGGACTGGAGTTGGAGATGGCAGTATGAACTCATGTTGACCTTAATATAGGTTCAGATTGTTACATACAGAAATATTTATAGATATCTGTACATACACTGATCAGTATATACACAGACATTTCTTTGTCAGATGAGATGGACTGAAAGAAATGACAACTCAGTAGCAAGGAGCACACCTACCACCCAGATCTTAGCACTTTACTTCTGTAATCTTCCTTCCAAAAACCCATAACCCTAGTCTAGTCATGAGGAAAGCAGACACATTCCAATAGAGGGTCATCCTTCAAAGATTTGATCAGTACTCCTCAAAACTATCAAGGTCATCAAAAATAAGGAAAGTCTGAGAAAGTGTCACAGGAGTCGTGTAAGGAAACACACAATTAAATGATATGTGGTCTCCTGGATGGAATCCTGGAGCAGAAAAATACATTAAGTAAAAGGAAGGAAATCTTGGGCCGGCCCGTGGCTCACTTGGGAGAGTGTGGTGCTGATACCACCAAGGCCACGGGCTCGGATCCCTATATAGGGATGGCTGGTTAGCTCACTTGGGAGAGTGTGGTGCTGATACCACCAAGGCCACGGGCTCGGATCCCTATATAGGGATGGCTGGTTAGCTCACTTGGGAGAGCGTGGTGCTGACAACACCAAGTCAATGGTTAAGATCCCCTTACTGGTCATCTTTTTTTTTTTTAAAAAAGGAAGGAAATCTTAATACTATGGGCTTTAGTTCATAATAATATAGCAATTAATGACTCATTAATTGTAACAAATGTAGCATACTAGTGTGAGATTTTAAGAATAGGGGAAATTATGTGCGGGGAATGGTATATGGGAACTCTCCGTAGTAGCTTCTAGATTTTTCTGTAAATCTAAACTGTTCTAAATAATAAAGTTTATTATTTAAAAAAACAAAAGCAACAAAAAGCGTTGCCAACAGCAGCTTCGCAGAACCAAGCAAGCAAGGGCTCTGCCCCTAATAAAGATGGCGGCCGCCGGCCCCGGGAGGAGGCTGCCCCCGACAAAGATGGCGCCCACGACGGGGAGGAACCGGAAGCGCGGGCCTGGCGGTAGCGCGGGTCCCCGTCCAGCGCGAGAACTGGCCGGGCGGAGCGGGTCGGGGCATGAAGCCGGGCCGGGCTACGGTGGGCCTGCTGCTGCTGGCGCCGTTGGTGGTGCGGGCGCTGGAGCCCATCAGCCTGGGACTGGCCCTGGCCGGCGTCCTCACCAGCTACATCTCCTACCCGCGTCTCTATTGCCTCTTTGCCGAGTGCTGCGGCCAGAAGCGGAGCCTCAGCCGAGAGGGTAGGAGGGGTCTGGGGACCGGCGCTGGAGCTGGGCTGGGGTGGGGGATCAGGTCCCAGGGGGGTCGGGCCTGAGCAGAGCTGAGACCGGCCGGGGCCCGACCCAGGAAGCCGAGCGGCCCGGGCTGCAGATGGGGCCTGGCGCCCCGGCCACGGCCACACACGGGCCGGACTTTGGCCGGAGACCTGGGACGAGCTGCTGGCTCCACTCAGAAGCTGGAGGTGTAGACCGGTTGTAAACGTCCTCCGGAGAGAGTTCTGCCTCCTTCCCGGCTGGAGACAGGAAGGATGTTGGGGAGACTCGCGGGGCAGACCAGGGCTGGCCCAACTGCGCCCCTTCCCTGCCCTGCCTCAGGGTGGGAGGAGCAGAGAGGGGTTAGGGGTGCAAAGTGGGGGCAGCGGTACTGGAGCCAAGGGCCTTTTCAGGAAGGAACCGGGCCAGGGCTTTAGAACAGGCAGGAGCAGCTGGCAGAGGGCTTCCTGGACCACCGTTGCCCTCTGGGCCAGGTGCTGACAGCCCTGGGCACCTCGGCCTTTCACAAGGTGCTTGAAGAGGGCTTAGCTGGCTTTGCCGGCTTTCGCATGAGCCTGCACACGTAGCTAAATTTCGCCAGCTCTTTCTGCCCCTCTCCTGACTGGCTTTGTCTTTCCCAGCGCTGCAGAAAGATCTGGACACCAAGCTCTTTGGACAGCATCTTGCAAAGAAAGTCATCTTAAATGCTGTGTCTGGTTTCATAAGCAACCCGAAGCCCAAGAAACCTCTCACCCTCTCCCTACACGGGTGGACGGGCACTGGCAAAAATTTTGTCAGCAAGATCATCGCTGAGAATATTTATGAGGGTGGTCTGAACAGTGACTATGTCCACCTGTTTGTGGCCACGCTGCATTTTCCACATGCCTCGAACATCACTCTGTATAAGGCAAGGACAGAAGTTTGGAATCCTTCCTGGATGACGCTGGGTTTGGGGTTTGTCATGGGATGGGATTTGGGAATTCCTTGCTGAAATGAATGAGTCTGAAAATGGCTCTATATGTCAGTCCCCCTTTGACAGGTGTGGCAGTTACAGAGGGCTTGAGAAGCACGAAGCATCAAAGCTTTGTGAAGCTTTCTGAAAACAGGCCTAGCAACACTAAGTGAGGTAATAGAGTTGTAGAGATAGACATAATAAAATTCAACTTAAAGATGAAGAAATCTCACTCATTTTGTGAAAGAGGAAACATTGGTAGAGAGGCCTAGGTTTGTTTAACTTAAACTGTAAACGCAGTTTGCAACAATTAACAACCTGGGCTTTGGTGGCAAACACCTGGATTTGAGTCCTAACTCTCGCACCTACTAGCTGTGTAGTCTTGGGAAACTCACCTGACCTCTCTGAGACTCAGGTTCTTCATTACAAAACAGTGCTTGTGAGAATTCAACGAGCTCTGTCTGTCAAGTGTGAAACGATGCCTGGCATGTGAGTGCTCAAATACATGTTAACTATTGCCTTTTAGGATCTCCGTAACAGACCTGCAAGGTGGGCAAAACAGTGAGATATTTATCCCTCACCCATGTGAACACATTTTCCTTCCTCTTGGGTGAGCATCAGGGTCACCAACTGTCCACGGGTTCCCAGGATGCTGGACTTTAGTGCTAAAATCAGGAAAGTTTTAAGAAAATCAGGATGAATTAGTCATCCTAGTTAGGATTTACACTCTATTAACTTAATAACTGTGTGGATTTGAGCAAGTTACTTAACCTCTCTGTGCCTCAGTATCCTTATCTGTAAAATAGGGAACACAGTTGTAACCACCTTGATGGGACTGGGGAGGTCACAGTAAAACGTCCTGTGAGTAGTGCTTAGAGTAGTGTCTTGCCCATAGTGAACACTTAATACGTGTTCTCAGTTATTTCATATAAGTCACAGCAACAGAGTGGAAAACCTTGGCTGTTGGAACCTCACAGATCTGAGTAAATCCTTGTTTGAACAGTCACTCGCCTTGTGTCCTCAGGCAAGCCACTTCAGCTCTTGTAAGGATCCTCCTCTGTAAATCGAGGCTAGTTCATACCTAGAGAGCAGAATTACTGCTCAGATTAGTACAAAGATGGAACATTGTAACTGTGGGCATAGTAGCCAAGTAAAATCCAAAATGATAAATTGAGACCTACACTGTCACTTCCAGAGTCT